GCACCTTTGAAGAGATGTTCCTTTCCTCCACCACGAGCTCTGCTGGTAGTGCTGAAATCATCCAGGTTTCACAGACCCCTGGTATTTGTGTGTGTTAATTCAAGACCCTTAACAGAGTCTGCAGGATTTGATACAGGTATAGAGCACTCAGTTAAAATAATCCTGCCAAATGGGAATTGTTGGGCAGGTAGAATGTATTGACTTAAACCTCTGCTTTGTCTTTAAATAGGCCTCATTCTCTTGATTCAGATGTCTGATCAAAGAAGGGATAATATATTATTTTTAAAAAATCACATATTGCCTGAGACCCTCCTCAGGTCAGCCATTAACACCATTAAATGCAGCCACATTGTTGGAGTCAGTAAGTCAGGAGTCTCTCTGTTTTCTTCAGAGAGAAATCAGAGTGCAGGGATTGAATGAAAGTCTTTGAATGGAATGAGTAAGTGAATAGATAGAGTGAATAAATAAGTAAATAACATAAGTTTTAAGTGCTTTTAGTGAGTAAAATGTTTTAGATGCTTGAGAAGTAGTACATGTTTTAGTGAAAGTTGAAAAACATACCAGTGTTTCCTTAGAGGCTCTAGGAACCTTGCTTCAGACATAATAGAGTTAGAGTTAAGGATATTGCTTACACTTTTTAGTTAGAACAAGATAGTCCATGTACATAGTTTATACATAGCCTGATGTGCTAAGAAACGAGAATTCTAATAGGTTAAGGAGTAGTGGTGTGAGTTTGTGTTTTAGCTAGTTAAAAAGTTTTTATAAAATAACTTGTATTAGGGAGAGCTGGTGCTCTATGCCATGGCTTTATGCCATGTGCATTTTGCCATTGCCTTTGCCACTTGTTTTTGATATCGTGTGCTTTATGCCATTGCTTTGCTTTGTTTTTACCTTTGAGACTGATGTGCTTCTGTAATAAATAACTTTATAGCAACTATTAGTTGCTTGGCTTTTTAAAGAAGAATAGAGCCCAACAGTGTGGGTGCCCCCGGGGCCCCTGGAGGTTTTCCTAAACCTCCCACCACATCAGCAGAGCCCAGGCTGGCAGTGTCCCCCTGTCTCTGCTGGATGCCAGCATGAGGATGTGTCAATGCAGTGGAAGCTGCTGCCACCCCAGGCTGGGGCTGGGGCTCTGGGCTGGGCAGGGTGTCTGTGGCAGGGCCACTGTCTGCAGGGGACAGCATGTCCTTGGCTCTCAACCAAGGGCTGAGTTGATCCCAGGCAAATCATGGACATTAAAATCCTCAGATGGGGCCATTTCTGCAGTAACAGCTAAATTATAGCCCATGAGCTCCAGGAAACCAAATTAGGGCTCCATGTGCAGTATTTACTTGGGCAATTTCACTTAACCTTGCCATCTTTTAATTGCTTTTATATCTTGATTTAGTAATTTCTGATTTTTTTTAATAGTTCCATTTATTGAGAAACACCACATGAGACGTGAACTGAGTAATTTTCTGTTTTTGCAGTTTTGCAATGTAATAGCAACAGAATTATTGGTAGGCAAATTCTTGAAGCAATAAATATCTTTGTCTGGTTTAGATGATTATTATTTTTGTAGCAATTCATTTGCAGGACAGAGTATCACCTTCACAAGAAACGGAACTGATTTGCAGTCAAAGTAGTGCTTTTGGTTACTTCTGAGTTTTGTAAGAAAAGAGACAAAACATAAAGTAATAATGCAGGAAACACGTAAAATGGTAATTTATCAAGTTAAAGACCTCAGTTTGATTGGAGAGGGAAATGCTGGACTGTATAAAAATTGCAAAAAGCAATATAATTCTGATGAAATATACCTCAGAGAAAAAATTAACCTACATTTTAGCCTGTTAGTGTCATGGAACAGATAATTGAATTCCTTGCTTTCTTGTCAATGCAGCAATATGTAACTCTGCTCAAATGCTCAGGTAATCAATAGTTTTTATGCTGATCTTCTTAATTTGTTCTTTGAAAACTGTTCTAATTACCATTTCTTCTGTTCTTACAAAGTCTTCACACAAAGGTTGGGTTTTTGGACTCTCATCCCACAGCTGATGGAACACAAAACCAAAACTCACTCAAAAGCCAATGCAGGTTTGTGCTTTATTTCAATACAACACTTTTTGGAGAAAAGTAGAAAGGTTTATTTTGAAAGAAATAAAATACCTCATGAAGGGAAAGGAACCGAGCAAAGCTCATCCATACAGATTCTTCACTGTGGTGGCTGCTCTGGACCTTTTTGTAAGGTGGTATCGTGGTGGTGGAAGCAAAATCGGTTATCAAAGGCAGTGTTTGCCATGCCAAAATTAACTTTTGGAGAGCAGGAAAATGAATTAAGGAGTCACTGATGGCAGCTGCCTGTGCCCATGTCACCCTGCTCCCGTGTCCTTGGTGAGCAGGGGAATTGCTCTTGTTCTCTACCATGATTTTCAGGCTTAACAAAATGCAACATATTCTTCAAAAGGAGAAGGTTGGAAAGGATTTTCAATCACCATCTCAAATCTGGCTTCAACCTGCCATAAACTGAAATATCCTAATGTAAATTGAGAATAGTCTGCTAAGATGGCAGTGGCACTTACACAGTTCCCTCCCATGTCCCCATTGTAAGAATTTTTTCTCGGGTGTTTCTTTTGTTTAATGTTGTCTGTGCAGTTTTCTACAACAGTTTAACTGCTTTATTGGCAATGAGGAAGGACATAAAATCTGTTATTGCAAGTGAGGAAGAAACATATGCTCTATGCTTAATGTGCAGCTGGAAAACACGCATTAAGATATTTTTTTTAAAAAGCCCTTCACATTCAATGGCCTTTTATTTCCTTTTTCTATACACCCCTGAACAATTTCTGGTGCTGCCATAGCTGATTACAGGATGGGGCTAATAATGCCAAGATTGTGGGTTTGATCCCCATACGGGCCATTCACTCAAGAGCTGGACTCGTTGGTCCTTGTGGGTCCCTTCCAGCTCAGAAGATTCTGATTCTGTGATGCTGAAAATGCAGCAGCAGGGGGAGGGAAGAGATAGGAGGAGTTGCTGAGGCTTCTTGGACCTGTGGCATGGACAAGCCAGAGGATCATTTCCTGCATGTCTAGAAATCAAGACACTGAACTTGTCTGATTCAAAGGGGTGTAAAATAAGGATAAATGTGAGGCATGGAGCTCCCTAAACCAGCCCCACTACCAAGGCCTCTGTGATGTGGGGCTGTCCTTGAAAATTCAAGGGCAAAGCTGTGCAAAGGGATGTTTGGCCAAGAGCTCTTGAGCCTGCAAGGAGCTGAAGTTCTGTGCCCCCCACACACTGCAGCTCCCTGCCACAATCACCCATTGCTGCCCCAGCTTGGGCTAGGGAGGTGAGACCTGCTGGGCACTCCTCACATCAGCCCCTGGAAATGCCCTTTTCCTCTTTGCTTCCAAATCACCTCTGGGCCCAGCATCTCATGGGTGCTTGTAACCAGCTATTTCCCAGTTAATTATCAACAAACTAATAAAGAATGCTGAGTTGTCAATGCCCAGACCTGCACGGATTTTCTCATCCTGTAATTTGCTCAATATTCAGCAATACCAATCTTACAATCAACACCGAAGCCCTGCACTCCAATATTGTCCAGAAAGAAGCAAATGAGACAGGAATAAACCAAGCAAGTGGGCTGCAACAGGAAAATGAGGTGCTGGCCAGGAGCCAGGGGATGCATTGCCTGGCAGAACACAGGTACAGACTCCTGAGTCACTTCTGCCTTTCCACGGTGCTTTGTTGCCACCCGATGGCCTCACACAAGGTTGCAAGAATGGAACTGGAAAAGGTGCATGCTATGAGATGTCTTGCATTTCATTAAAACCACCGAGAGCCTTTGAAAACAGCTTCTCAGATCTCTGTCTTTTTTATTCATGCCCTGATGACACAAGTCTCTGCTTAACAGGTGATAAATAACTTTTTTTTCCAATGTGGCAAAGGACATAACACCTGTATTTTATCTGTATTTAGAAGGAATTCCTCTTGTATTTGCAATTTCCTTTCCCGAGAGGACAAGATGATTGGAGGATAATGGTGTTGTCAGGCCTGGAATGGTCACTAAATGGTAATGCTGTGATGCTTGATCCATCCAGCATGATATTCGTCTGTTTGCCAAGATAAGAACTGCATTTGCCCCTCACCCTGGCCCTTGTGATCACAGCAACACATCTGCCTTGTGTGAAATAATCCCTGTCCTGTTTCAGGGATGGTGTAGAACCACAGGGATGGCCAGCAGGCACTCTGGACAATCCTGACCACTATTCACACATTTTTTTTCTCTTTTCCCATTTCTTTTACAATTTCTGGAGCCTACCTTTCTCTGTTTTTTCCCAATCTTTCTCTACTCCAATTCTCTCTCATTTAAATAATTCACCCCTAATTTTCTTCTCCCTAAAGGTCGTGGTTTTTCCTTCATGTATACACATCCTTTGCATTTTTGCCCCCCTGGCTGGGTGATATTGGAGCTGTACATTGTCAGTGATGCTGCAGGTCTTGCAGAGCTCTGCTCCCCAGGAGGTTCCCAGTGCTCCCTCCAACCACTTCTGAAATCTGGCTGTTTCCCACACCCCTCCTTCCGAAGCACTGGTGAAAGCCAGGCATCCCTCACGGTGTTGTCTGCATGTTTTGATGGCACCAGCACTGTGACCCGTGCTCAGATTAGGATGCTGCATCCACTCAGTGCCCTTTTCAAAGAATGTGATCTCACTTCAGGGTCTGCATTTTTCCCCCTGGTCATTCCAGCTGGCTTAGCCACATAAGAATCTCTCACTGAGGTGAAAACCCCGAGGCTGGAATGATTTGGAGCCAAGGGATGGGGTATCCATGTGTTGCTGTGGTGAGCTGTGCCTTGGGAGCACCAGTGTGGCTGGAAAAGGGAGCGTGGGTCACCCTGTGTCTGCTCCTGGCGAGGATGTGCAGGGCAAGGACAGGAGCTGGCAGCTGTCACCTTCACCTGCTTTTGATGTAGATGGATGAAGATGCTACAAAGGGGCTGTGTGTTTTCTGGGGTGCTCTAAAGTGCTTTTTGAATCCAGAGCTGGAGAACTTCTTCTGAGGGCACCACAACCACCATCAGGTCACATTGTTCAGCTTCTTCACTGCCCCGCAGGATCAGCTGGGTGGGGGGCTCTGATTCTTTCTAGAAAACAAATGCACTCACTCAAACACCCTCAGGCTGCTGAGTTGGTCTGCTTGTCCTTTTCCCCACAAAGCGTTCCTCTCATCCTTCTGCCACAGCTGCCCAGAGAACCCACAGCCACAGGAACTGCTAACCTGCATTCTCACTCCATCCGCACATTCCAACACATTCCCGAGGAGCTGCTGATTGATTTCTCCCTAGCAAGCTGCGAGGGGCTCAGGGGGCAGCAGGGGACACAGTGCTGGCAGTGGCACAGCTGTTTGCTGCAGGGAGCAGCTGCTCAGCTGGGCCAGTCCCTGGCTCCCAAACCTTTTCCCCAAAGCACCAGGAGCATCTTCCCTGCCCGGGGCTTGGGCCAAAGGCAATGCCAGCTGTGCAGCCAGTTCAGGGCTGCTGGTCCCTGCAGCTCAGCTCCTCACACTGCAATGGGCAAGGCTTCCTTGGAACCCGTTTTTCCTGTGAATACCCAGCACTACAAAACCCAATAAAACTCAGTTTAAAAAGTTACCAGTGTGTCTGGCAGGACAGCAGTGGGGCAGAAGGAATACTGGAAGATTTTACTTATTTTCCAGGTGAGGAAGAGCAGGGTTAAGGCTGCCACAGCAAAGCCAGCAGAGGAGATGAGGGCAGTGACCAGCCACATGGATGTGTCACCTGGAAATGACAGAAGCAGCAAAACTTCTTAAAGACACTGAAAACTTCTTAAAGACACTGCAGGGACCAAGCACTCACTGCAGGCAGCCTGAGCCTTCTCTGGCTGCTCTTTCACCCCGGGGAGATCCCTCCCAGCAAACTCCTGTGCCTGTTTTACCTCTCCCAAGGTAAAAACACAGCACCTTTGCAAACTGGGCAGGAGGTCTGGGGTGGAAACCAAAGGAGGAGCTTTGGGCAGGAGCAGAGCAGGGAGCAGGAGGGAGGGCTGGCTCTTACCCTGTGCCCTCACACACTGTGTGGGGCTGAAGCTGCTGCTCCTGTTGATGGCCTCGACGTGAGCCTGAGCCTTCACACAGTACTCGGCTCCTGCCTCCATGGTGTCCAGGTGAACCACGGAGCTCACCTCCTCCAGCACCTTCTGCTGCACCTGCCACAGGCCCAGAACACAAAGAATCAGGGCACAGGACAAGGCTCTGGCATCGGACAGCAGCTCTGCTACTGATGCCTGAAAGAGCCCAGCAATGAAGCACACACACTCTGGAGATGGTATTAGTATAGCAGGTAATACAAAGGTTGATCTTTATTGGAGACCTCCAGGGGCAGGTATGGAAAATGTCCACAAAAGCCCACTCCCCACAGGGTGAATACAGATTTAAGTTCAGTAAATTAGCCTAATTGACAAAAAGCACCAATTAGGAGCACAAGTGGTGAAGCAAATCCTCCCCCCAAGTTCAGGCCCCTTCTAAATCCTCCCCCCTCAGATGGAACTGAAGTTTGTTGATGAAAATGTGTCAGAAAGAGCTTTTTTCCAACCTTGGCTTCTAAGAAGAACCAAGATAAGATAGGGGCTTTGGAATATGTTTTGTCTTTCTGTGTATCAAGGCAGGGAAAAGTACTGGGAAAACGAGCTAGGAATGCAATAATAGGCTAAAGAGCTCCAAAAATATGTATAAAGTATACAGAGATATAGAAAAGAGAAAACAAAAAAATGATCTGGCATCACCATGATGCCTGTCCAGCGAGAAAAGGAGGGAGCAGGAGGGGATGAGTAGAACAAAAGAAGGATGAAAGCAGCCAACAAGAAAGCACAGTGGAGTGCAGAATGAGCTCACACACTTTGGGAAGGGCAGGAGGGGATGGAAGGAAGGAGCTGTAAGCCAAAGAGTCATAATGATGGTGCTGGGCCACACCTCCTGAACCTGCTACCCTGCTAGGAGGGGGTGTCTGAGAGGGATGTCTGAGGTCTCGACCAACTGAAGGTTTTGCTGGGTGTGATGGGTGCCAAAATCATCACCATGCTGTGATCAGGGTGTGAGAGCTCAGAGAGGGGATGGGCTGGGCTAGTGAGGGGTGAGTGAATTTGGTGTGTGCAACTATGACACACTCCAGCAAAGCTTAAACAGCATGTGGTCAGCAGTACATTATTTTATTGCCATAAATAGGTCTGCACTCATTGCTGGCAAGATGAATTGGCTGTTTCCAGAGTCCCCAGCCATGAGAGGATGGGGAGCAGCTCCCCAGCTGCTCCTCTTTCTGTGCTGCAGATGCAAACCTGTTCTCACAGAAGGTCTGATCAGCCTCCAGCTCCACACACAGATGGAGAACTCCAACAAGCCAGGAAGGCTCTCCTGGCAGGGCAAGTCCTTCCCACCATCAAAATAGCCTCCTCCACAGAAACATGATATGGAGGGCATTAGCTTGAAAAGATTTCAAGGACAAAATCAGGTCTGTGACTACCTGGAGTGACCTCTTGAAAAAACAGCAAATGAGACATGTCAAATGTAAAAATGATTGAAAAAACCAGTAAAAGTCCCAGCATAGGACTTGTATTGACCAACAAAACTAATGTTTGCAGCAGTCCAGCTGGTAGAAAGTATTCTGAAATTTGAAATGAATGTTGAGGTCATTAAGATCACATACTGAAGAAGATGTAATATTTTATTCATAAGACACAATCAGATACAAAGCTATTGATTGTTTTTAAGGTGTCAGAAAGCCCATGGCCAAGGTTGATCTCATTTAGCTGGATTTCACAGTGGGCAGTCCTGCTCCTGATGCCTCCTTATAGACTAAAGTATTTTGTATGAGTAAATTGCTAATTGAGAGTGGCAGGAAGTCATGGTGGGGACTCAGGTATTAGTAGAGGTGATCAGGGAGAAAAATGAAAATTGTTACTGCTAGTGGTACTAAAAACCCACTTCACAATAGTAAAGATGACAGACAACTGTGAAGAACAGCAGGAGGATCTGGTAATAAAGCAAAAAATGCAATTCAATATTGATAAATGTGGAATTATGCTCATGAGAATTTTCCTCCTACATTTTCACAGCATCCTTCATCAGAAAGAGGAAGCCAGGGTTCAGTTTCCATGGGATTATCAGCTCTGTGGCAGTCACATTAACAATTGCTGGAGACACAAGGGAGTGGGAAGACTTGGTTTGTTTTGTGGTGCTAACACAGAGTGTTCCTGCACCTTGGACCCTGCAGGTTTCTCCCTGCCCACCCTGGTAAAGATAAAAATAGCTGTGAGGGCTTCCACAGGGAGCAGCTAAGTAGTCTGGGAGTCCTTGGCCTGGAAAAAGATACAGAATATGAAACTAATAGAAAGGAAGAATAGAATAGAATAGAAAGGTAGGGAAAGTGAATGGGGAATAATTGTTCTCTCTCTCATCCCCAAGTCAAGGTCGAGACTGCAGAACAGTTAAGCTGCAGAATTCCTCATTGCAGGAAGTTGTACAAGCTAGATTGAAAGCCAGAACAGATAAATGAATGGAACAAAAATCCATCAAGAACTACTCATGCTGCAATTTCTGGCTCAGAAAACTGAGAAAAGTTTGTCAGTACCTCAGTGTGACACCTTAATCACAGTCTGAGTAGACCAGATGACATTCAGAGGGAGAAGTCAGCACAAACACCTTTGGTTCCTGACTCCTGGTTTCTATCTCCAGCTAAGGTATGTCAGGGGATTCCTTTTCCCAGAGAAGGAAATTTAGGAAGAAGAGACAGGCTGCTCCATGAGGAACCCACAGCAACCCCCTGGTGTGTGCAGGGGAGGTGGCACAAATCCACTCCAGGCAGGTCCTTCAGCCCCACAGCAGGAGCTGGGAGTGGCAGCAGGCTCTGGGCAGTGTGTGTGCATCCCTCTGGGGACTCTGTTCTTGCCCAAACCTGGGGGTAGAACTCACCCTGCTCTCCTGGCCCTTCCTCCAGTAGAGCACACGGAACTGGAAGGAGGGTCCCATGTCTGCCAGCTCCACCAGTAAATGGTGCCCATCTGCCAGGAGCCTCAGCGTGGGTGGGGTCAGGGAAGCTGCAACACAGACACCACCATTTATCACCCAGAAACAGCCCTGAAATCCCCCCTGTGGCCCAGGCAGGAGAGGGGCTGCCATCAGCAGTGGGGTAACATCTGCCAGAACATCTGGCTGCTTCAGTGGGGCAGAAACCTCTCTGCTCTTCCTCCCTATGTGTCCAAATACAGGGGCAGACTTTCAGCAGGAGAGGAACCATGACTGGTATTACAAATGGCAATTTGGCAATAGCTGAGCTGCACAGAACTTGAAAGGCTTGGAATTTTCTCCAGTGGAGGAGCTGCCTGGCCTGAGGGTGCCACATGAGCAGCTGCAGCAGAACCAGCTGGGCACAGAGGCTGGGACACCAGATCAGGTCAGCTCTGCTGCTCCTGGGCAGCAGCTCAGCTCTGACACGCACAACAGGAGCTGAAAATCCACTGCTTTTTAGGGGAATTTTAGCAGTTATTCAAAGGTGAAGGGAAAAACATTATGAGCCTCAGGGTAATTAACATGAATCTTGATTTTCTTTTAGTCTGCATTGTTTTAGACAGACTGGGGCTAATGATCTGCTGTGACTTCAGGTTTTGTAAATGTATGCAAGTAAATCTTTAGGTGATTTGCTTCCTGCTTACTTTGATATTCAAAGCTTGGTTTTGTCTGGGATTCAGCTGTGAGGAATATTGGTGAAATAATGAGAATCAACCGAGCATAGATGAAACTGTGCACTGTACATTTATGAACTGGGAAGTTCAAGGCAGTACAGAGATCATGTTTGCACTATTTAGCTGTGCCATTATTCACACTTATCTATGCCACTTTTTACCACTCTGCTGTAGCTGAAACCTGTTTCAACCTCTTTGCTTTCAAGAAAGGAAGGAGAGTGATGCATAGTGCCATATAGAAGAGATGTTCTTAATAGAATTTGTTCTTACATCCAGTGAATTGCCACTAATACTGAGCAATATGAAAACATAAAATCCAAGCATGTACATGCTGAGTGTGCCATAAATGGGAAGCCTGGAAAACTACTTTGTACTTTTAAATGAAGAGCTGAAAAAAAAAGGTGAAAATCTCCTTAGCACCACATGTCAAAATTAAAAAAAAAAACTGTTATCATTTGGAGGTTAAAAGCAAATATTGTGCTAATGTATTAACAAAAGAACATTGCAGGATGCAGCTGCTAAACAAACAGGAGCATTTCTATTTATCTCTGTGCTGGTACACTGGACACCAACTAACTATCTGAATGTTGAGAAATGAAGAAGGAAGACTGACTAAATTGTTTGCTTTAGGAAATCCTTTCAAAGTGTTTTCCATGTGTTATCATGCTTGATGTGCCTCTGCCCCTGTGGGTTGGCACTGGGGCTGTGCTGCTGCCCTGCCTGGCTGTGAGTCCTCACAGGACCTGTGGGCTGTGTTTGAATCCCTGAGCTCCTCTCAGGCTCAGTGCCAGCTCTCCTAAGAGGTGTGACAGCAGAGCAGTAAAAATGCATAAGGACAAGCACTTACAGTGCCTTTTCTTTCTCTTTTAAACATCTGCCACATTCACACTGAATCCCAGTTGAAGCTGTAGCCTCTGAACTGTCACAGCTTAGTCAGGAGACTGTTTTGGGGTCCTAAGACACAGGACCTGCCAAATACTTCATTGAACCATGAGAAGCTGCTGCTTTTGTTCCTGTCAGTCTCAGGAATGTCCTTCCCCCATCTCTGCCTGACAGTGTGGTCTGTGCCTCTCTCTGTGTCTCCACAGCTGCTGGAAAAGGGAAGGATTTTTTATCTAAAGCACTTTTTAGACTGTGCTTCCACACAGAGACACATTCACCACCTTAGGTGGCACTTCTGGTGGTGCTGCTTTGACCAAGAGCTCTGTGTGAGTGAGGATTGCTTCCTCATGAAGTAGTGAATAACTTCCAAAGATGGATGAATTTTTAATATTGGGTCAGCTCTGGTTTAGACAATTTCTTGCCTGGCTGAAGCTGATGAATGCTGCCCATCCCAGACCGAGGGCTGCAGTCTGAGTGACCTCAGCAGAGCTTTCCCACCACAGTTTTTGTTGCTGAAAGCAGTTGACTACATGGCAGGGAACAGAGGGAATTATTCCACAGAAATCATGGAAAGACTATGCTCGTTTTAGGCCACAACACAATCCTTGGGTTGAGCTGGGCCTCAGGCTTTGCAGGACTTGGAGGAACATGGAGAACACATCCTGCATTGCTAGGATGAAATTAATGCTGTGGGTTCCACTTTTCTCTCCTCTTCTGAGGTTACTTCATAGATCTGACACCATGGGAGGAGGGAGACATAGAGTGGGATTTCTGGGACATTGCCAGGCAGGTAGAGCATGACAGGGCTATTTTCTAGAGCAAAAGCTCCCTTAGGATCACGTTCTGGACCTCTTAGAAGTGACTTCATGACTTGGATTAAATGGCAGCAAGCCTAGTTGATCAGAAACCTGTAAATTTAAGGGTAAGAATGACCAACTTGCAAAAGGAAATTTCTGCACTCATCTTGCTTATCTTTGAAACCCTTGAAATTCAAGCCCAGATGAATTTGGCTCTGCCAGGGGATGAACCCATGTCCCAGAACAGTGAGAAGGGAACCCCTGTGATGCAGAAGGAGAGGAGCTGAGGAGCAGGGTGTGCCCTGTGCATATCTGGGCTCTGTGTGCCCTGCACGGGGCACAAACAGGAGAGCAGCCCAAGCCCAGGGCTGTGGCTGGCGAGCAGGACGCACTGGTGGCGCGGTTGAAGAAGCCTTCCGTGGTGGCCCACGGGGACCTGCTGGCCCCCAGCTCTGCCCTGACCCGCAGCTTGTAGGCCACGCTGGCTGAGATGTCCTGGGTGATGTTGCAGAGCGTGGCTGTGGTGAGGCTGCACTCGGGGATGGGGATCCAGCTGCCGTCGGCGTATTCCCGCTCGTATTCCCTGCGGAGGGGAGCACACAGGCAGCTGTCTGGAGAGCAGAGACCTCTGAGCTCTTCAGAGAGAAATCAGGGAGCAGGGATTGGATTAAAACCTTTGGGTTGTTTGAAGTACATTGAGCCACTCATACACGAAGTAAAGATGTACATTTAAGTTGTACATAAGTAAGTAGGAATATGTTTTAAGTGCTTTAAAGAGTAAAGGTCTTAGATACCAGTGTAGAAGAACAAGTTCTAGTGAAGGCTGAGAAACATAGTCCTAGATACCAGTGTTGAAAACAAGTTTCTGTGGAGGCTCCAAGAACATAGTTTAGACATGATAAAAAAATAAGATTATTGCTTACATTTTTCAGATAGAACAAGACAGACCATATGCATAGTTTATAGGTAACTTGGCACGCTAAGAAACTAGAATTCTAATAGGTTAAGAAGAAATGGTTCAGGTTTGTGCTTTTAGCTTGTTGGGTAATTTGTGTATAAGAATCTATGCACTGGTGAGAGATTGGCTCTTGCTCTCTCACTTTTTCTTCAGGAGCAGCATCAGCCCTCCTGGGGCCCACACAGGAGCAGCTTCTACTTCTGATTGGGACTTTACTTCTATTTAGGACTCTTTGCTGAAAACTTTTAGCATGGACTTTAACACTTGTGACTCTTTGCCTTTCAAGCCTGATGTGCCTTTACAATAAACAACTTTATAGTGACTAACAGCAAACAGGCAGGATGTGTCTGTGCAGCTAGGGCTGCTGCTGGCTGCTTTCCAGCTAAAACCTCTATGGGATGCACTGGGGTGGGAGCACCACAGTGTGGGAGTGTTTTAGGTTTTATCTGGAGAAAATCACCCTGATCCAGGTTCATGAGCCAAATGCAGCATGATATTGTGGGAGGTGGGGACAGCCAGCACTGTGTTGATGCATCAAGCCTTGCCCACTCATTTCACTTGATCATCCCCAATTCCAAAGCCATGCTGTAAGAAAAGTCAGAGCTCAAGGTGTATCAGAAACCTCCTGTGGTGTGTGTCTAATGTTTAAAAGGTTTACACGAAATAAAGCTCAATGCTTTCTCCGTTGTCGTCTAAATAAAATGTTGCAAATCTTCTTAAATTTTGAATTCTTGGATAGAGACAAATTTCTTATATGGAATTGATCCACACCTTGGATTACTCAGGTATCTGTTAACCTGCAAACTGTCCCAGAACTGGAACAAAAGGAATTATTCCTCCACTTCTCATTAACAGTGCTAAAGCATCAAACTTGTTTTAGGCTAGTGAACTGAATATGATCAAGACATCAACGAATTTAGAATTTAAAGTTGAGATAAACAATGTTAAAAAAGCAAAAAGAATAAAAAATTCAAGTAGTTACCCCTGAAACTCAACTGAGTATCTCACAGTTGCTCCCTGGATGATCACAGGACTCCAAGTTAAGAAGTGTTTCATGTTGGTAGAAAGGATGGAGATACTCTGAGGTGCTGGCAACAAAGCATCTCCTCCTAAAATTCCCAGCAAAAGAAAGGAAAAAAAAATAATTTACTGGGGGGAAAAAAAAATAAATTTCCGATATTTTCATGTCTTGACTTTAGACATTTTTGGTAAAAATTTTTTGGCATTCTATAGTACTAAACCCTATATTATTAAACTGCCTATATTATTAAACCCTATATTATTAAACCTATTTTAAAAGCAGAGCATTCTGAATTGGACTCTCAGTCTTTTAATGGCCCAAGGGTTATTTCCTGTCTGGTGAGAACAATCTTCATTTCCTGGCTATGCTTGGCTTTTTCTTGTCAAAACCAGTGAGTCTTCTCCTGGCACAGTGGCTGCCATCTCACTTCAGCTGAACCACAAAAGTTCATGCAGAAATTAGGATTCTTTCCTGCTTTCACTCGGAAAAACTCTGTACCCAATGGCAATGTAGGTGCTTCTATAAAAGCAGTTCACTGATTCAAGTTTCTGTTTGGCATCATGTGCTGAAAGTCATAGTTTGGAGGAGAGGTTCACGCTTTTCCAGAGTACTTTTGATCTAGACAAAATCCCGTGTCGTGGCCAAGCAAATTCTATTCATGGTTTCTCCCACCCATCTGTTGCAAAAGCCCACAAAGCAATTGTAACAAATGGAAGTTTAACAGCAGGAGGAGAGACAATTCTAGGTCACATAAACAGCACTGAGTGCAAACAGCGAAGTGTTTGAGTGCTGAAATGATCACTCAGCTCTGGTTTGTTCATTTGGAAGGAAAAGGAAACAATAATTATACAAAATGCAGTGGACAGAGAGCACAGGCAGGACCCAGAGGGCTGAGAGCCCAGGGCTGCCACATTTCCATCCATTTTGGATTCACCAGGAAAAGCCAAACTCACTCATTCAAGCCAGGGTACTGACTCTCACCCTAATGTCTCCAGCCATGCCAAAGAAATGGCATTTCCTCTGTAAATAACAGTTTTTGTCTCCTACCCTATCAGCAGTACATTCTATTTAATTTGTTATACAAACATTTTCATTTAGAATGATGATGACCCTTTTAATTTAGTATTTTTATTCTCTTTGTGTTAGAGAATTACAATTAAACAACCCCAAAACATGGTCAAGTCTAGTACATTTTTCCGTCTTACTTTTCAGTTTAAAATACCTTAAATAAACCTTGATAAAGTTCCATTCCTCTGGGAGAGATTTTAATATCCTTGTTGCTCTGTGAATATAGAACAATGTAATATTTCCTCATTACTTGCTGTTACTTCATCACTACTATCACCACTGCTTGCTTCTAAGTGTCTGTGAACACTGTAAAAATATTAATACCATTACCTCTTTATTCATAATATTGTCTCCTTTCAGGGGTTCAACAAACACAAGAAGAAACAGCAACCTCAGACTTGGTGCTGCACAGAAGCATATCCCTAAAAATTGTATTTATAAGGCTCAGAAATCCTTCCTGTTGTGATAATAAGCATTGGCTTTTTAACTTCCAGTCATTGTATTGTTTAATCTTCTTTTGCTAATCTGGAGGACAGCAATGCCACCAGCTTTTTGTATCTTGCATGGTCTGACTCTCCATTTGAGAAAATTTCAGTGAAGAAGAATCTGAGAAGGGAATTCTGATTTCACTGGTAACAAGAAAATAATGTCTATAACATCCTGAGAAGATAAAGGCATTTCTTTGTTAGCTAAATGTTGAAAATGAAAGCCATACATCTCTGAGTCCTAGAATTAGCAATTTAGACAAGGATAATAAATTATGCTAAAATCTTTTTGGCTAGATCTCCTTCAGGCTCGGGGGACATCCCTCCCTCATCTGCCGATTACACAAACTCACAGCAAAAGGCCAGAGCCTGGTACATCCCCCTTGGCTCTTTCTGCCCCCAGCACCCAGAATCAAAGCCCAGCCTCCTGGGCTGGACAGGAACACGCTGTCCTCTGCTCTGCACAGCCACAGGGGCAGCTTAGGGCACAAACATTCACCAAATCAATGCTCTCTGCTCAGAAAGAAGACTGGGACACGAATTCCTGTATTTCAGGTCGAGGCCAGGAGAGTGGCAGACACAGTGTGAGTTGTGCCACCTCTCCCTCCTCCTCCTGTCACAGTGTGAGAGGCTGGCAGTCACTACCCACACAGGCAGAGTGCTCCTGCCTGGAAACAGCACTCAGGTCGCCAGGCCTTAAGCAAAAATACAGCAAAGACAACCCCACATTTCTTTAAAGAATAGTTGCCCAGCTCTGTCATCTTTTAAAACACATTTGTCATGATCTTCCCTATTATAATAAACTTTCCCAGCAGAAACCACTCGGTGCTGTCACTGGATTCTGTCTGAGCACTTAAGAACTATAAATAACAAGGCAGCTGTAAAATGATTTTTTCCTGAGGCAGAGGAAGAAAATGGAGCACAAGACAACCAGAACGTTGTTGATACAACCAAAAATGGCACATTTAGGAAATCTGGGCCGGGGAAAGCCCAAGCACGCTGGCAAGCCGTGTGTGCCTTGAGAGGACTGGCATTGCAAGCACTGGGATGCAGTCAGGAGATTTGAGACCAGGCTCCTCTGGGATGGCTCTGCTGTGCTGCAGTCACTTGGAGAAGCAGATTACCAGTTGCACAGACTCCTTCCAGGGAGAGAGAGACCCTCAGAGGAGCGATTTGGGCTATTAATGAGCATTTATAGCCTTCCTCTCTGACCCTGCATCCACTCCACAGGCAGAGCATCCCTGTGCTCAGAGTGATCAGCACTGAAAGAGGATTTGAGAGTTCAGCTTCTCACAGAACAACAAAAGAGCAAATACAGAATTACTTAAATTCCTTTGAACTGAAATTTCCCTTTAGAGTTCAGGAATGACCTGTAGAACAGAATTTAAAGATTGCCTTTTTCATTTGCTTATTCTGATGTTCATTTTAGAAAAATAATTAAAATTTAAGATCACCTGACCTCGTACTCCTTTGGTTTAAGTGCTGCCAAGGCATATAGAACAAAAGGAGGAAAGACTTTGTTACTCACATCTTTCAGTCATTTACCTGAGAGATTTGGTGCACTCAGAGCACAGAGGAAGAAGCAGATGAGCTCTGCTGACATTTTGCTCAGGTTTTCCCCACGTTCACACCCTGTTACACATCTGAGGAGTTTCCTCTGCCATCCAGGGATGCTTTTCTGGGCCAGCCATGGTGGGCAGAGTGGAGTCTCCGGGGCAGTGTGAAGCTCCTGCTGCCTGCAGAGTGCCAGAGAGGCACAAATGTTGTTTGGGAGGGTGCAGCTGCAGGGAGTGCCCAGGTGATTGCTGCCAGCAGCTCTGTGCAGGTTTGTGCAGCTCTCTGCTGGATGGGGCAACTCTGCTCCCCTCCCTGGGAGATTGCACAGCTTGTGCAGAGGCCAGCTAAGGAGGAAGGAGGGTTTGGTGGGTTTTCCCATGCAGCTGTAAATGCTCCCTCCTCTGCTCAGCCCCAAACCAGATAAATCCTGATGCTTCCAAGCACCAGGAAGGTTTCCTCATGTTCCTGTGAAATGTTTTGTGTCCCTGCACAAAGGACTGCCACCTCGGGGCTGATGGAAGGGACCTGTGTCCTCCAGTTTCTCTCCAGTACCACTCTTGTGGCTGTGTGCTGAGCAGGAAATTGTGTATCCTGGGCTTTTTCCATCTTCCAGAGTCCATTGCTCTCCACCTCACCTGGAGAGAGGCAGGATTTTCCTCTGGATGCAGCTGAGACTGAGAGCCCAAAGCCCCCAGGCTCCAGGGCTGCAGCAGCAGCAGCAGCAGCTCCCTCTGTGCTCCAGGAGGCTCCTTCAGAGGAAAGGGAAAGGCAAAGCTCAGGGGGCAGCTCCTCATGTTCTGCAAAAGGTCACTTAAATGAAATGAAAGTCTGACTGCACGGATAACATCAGCAAAGGCCAAATCCCACCAAATCCCACCAATGCTTCCAGTTCTGATGAAAACAAATATTACAAACCTCCCTTCTAAACTGCTTCCTCCTCCTCACCATTTACCACCTTAGAAGGGGCTTCTAGTTCTTAAAAAATTTGTCTCCTCTCTAACAACTTTCAATAGCAAATACATGACTTCTATTTTCAGTGGAGAACAAAAGGGATCTGTCAAAACTTGTTTAGTACATATTTTCCAAGGAAAGAAAAGGCAGAGTTTTTGGATTTATGAAAGTATAAAAATAATATTCAGTCAAACAAATGTCTTCAGATTCTCAGACGTGCAGGAGCAGCACAATCAAAAATCCACACATTTCTTCCCTCTTTCCATCATCTCCCTTCTCCTTTCAGTTTTTCTTTCCTTTGCTTTCTACCCCCTCTCTTCCCTTTCCTCCTTTCTAGCCTTCCTCTCAGTTCCCCTCACCCTCCATCCCTACCTCTGTTCCTTCCTGCATCCCTTCCCACCTCCCTTCTCTTTCTCCTCTCCATCTCTGGCACAGACTGAGAGGTCTCTGAGCACTTCCCAATCCTGGGAATGTTCTCCTTCCATGGTACAAGGATGTTGTCTGGAACACTTTTCAAGTCATCTTTTATCTTCTTGCTCGTCACTTTTATCTTGTTACTTTTATCCAGTATCTGCACTGATAACCAAAAGGTGGCTGTTGTGGTGGGTGACTTTGTTATTGTTGTGAAAATCGTGAGGTCCAAGAGGAAAGCATGGATGTGTTTAACAGTATTAGCAACAGGACAATGTGCTTTTTGCTGGGAAGCAAAAGAAAGATTTGTAGAAGAAAGGAAAAATATACTTGTCAGTGGGAAAAAACACCCATTTGTTCTCTTGTTGTACCAAGAAATGATAAATAAGGCAACTGAACGATTGTTCAGTTAGAGCTGTGTGGCATATCTGGTTCTTCACTAGGTTGTTCTTGTGGTGCCATAAACAGGTGGATGAATTTTGATTAAATATTTTGATTAAGTATTCAGACATAAGCTGAGAAGAATCTCAAAGCCCTGTCTGTGAGCCAGCCAGCCAACTTTTCATTTTCAAGGGTGGGGAAGATGAATGCAGGCCCATTTTCTAATTAATCAATGATCAGCAATGAAAGGGAGAGTGGGTCTGCCATAACAATGAGGATTGCAGCTGCCCTGAGTTATCAGCAAGGTTCCAAAATGAAAACTGAGATAATACTGTATTATATTTCCTGCCTTAATTACAGCCACCAAATGTGTAAAGGAAGCTCGAGGTGGAAGCTGAAGGCAATGCACACACAGGGCTGAGGGGTGCAAAGCAGCAGGCTTGGAATAGAGGTGATTATTTAGATTACAGGAGCAATAGAAGTGGCAAAACACCTTCTGACATTTCCCCCTGTTCTGAGGTGCTTTTGAAAAGAAATGGTTTTATAGAGATAAAAAGAACTCTTTCAGCTGTACTGTCTTGCTTTCTGAACTGTACCAGTTCTGCAGGTCTTTTTGAAATTGCTGAAACAAACATTTCCATAACTTTTCCTTATCAATTATTGTTCCAATTATGTCTCTGTGAAATATTTTACTGTTATTCAGCACGTGTTTCTAAAGAGAAAAGATACCAAACATGTATTTCTAAAGATAAACATCTGTATGACTGTTTTGCAATTCTTGCCTTGCATTTCAAGTTATTCAGGCCAGTAGTTGCACCAGCAAGCCAGGATGCTGTGGAACTGCTGTGGAATCCATACCTAATTCAATCTGTGTTAATCACATGAGGTTATTTCCAAGGAAAATGGATTGAAGGAGCAGAAAAAGGGAGACACAGGTGACAATTTAAAAGGAAAGGTTTAAGTTATTTGAGCAGCAACTGGGCAGGGTTTTATATAATTCCCTATGATATCCTCTGTTATATGTAGATATCCTGGTGGATATTAAAACATTCTAATAACTGATTTATTTATGTGCGTATTGTGATATGCTTAAGATTCCAATCCGTGTCAAAACCTAAATAAATGTGAAAAATATAGAAAAATATTTTATCTGGACCAACTCACTGAGGGAGAAATCCTCTCTGATTAAGAGAAGACTCGAAGCCTTGCAAACCTGACCAGCTGTGTAGAAGTTCTGTCTGCTGGAGGCTTCTCCATGACCTTGCTCTTAGTGCAGAGCCCTGGCCTGAGAATTCACCTGCATTACAAAACCATTGTGTGGGAGTGGAGGGAAGGGAATAATTGGGGAGGCAGCATGTGGCTGCCATTGCCAGGATTGGAAACAGGTCTGGGAACTGCTCTCATGTCACAACAATAGCAAAGTCACCCACCACAATAAAAGTATCAGGATAAAAGTAACAGGATATTGGGATAATGAAGAGCAAGAAGATAAAAGATGACTTGAAAAGTGTTTCAAACAACATCCTTGTACCATGGAAGGAGAACATTCCCAGGATTGGGAAGTGTTCAGAGACCTCTCAGTCTGTGCCAGAGATGGAGAGGAGAAAGAGAAGGGAGGTGGGAAGGGATGCAGGAAGGAACAGAGGTAGGGATGGAGGGTGAGGGTAACTGAGAGGAAGGCGAGAAAGGAGGAAAGGGAAGAGAGGGGGTAGAAAGCAAAGGAAAGAAAAACTGAAAGGAGAAGGGAGATGATGGAAAGAGGGAAGAAATGTGTGGATTTTTGATTGTGCTGCTCCTGCACGTCTGAGAATCTGGAGACATTTGTTTGACTGAATATTATTTTTATACTTTCACAAATCCATAATACTCACCCTTTCTTCCTTGGAAGAGATGTACTCACAGTTCCAAAGCAGTCTCTTTTGGGAGATGTGACTGCAGTGCTGCTGGGAAGCAGCTGAAGGGTTAATTTGGCTGAGCTGGTTGCCAGTGGAGTCATTCAGATCCACAACTTGTTCTTTGGGCAGTGCAAAGTTCAGGGAATTTATGGATCAGCACCAATGAGCTGTGAGGTTCCTGCTGCTGGGAAATGACCTGGCCACACCAGGGGCTCCTGTCCTGAACTTGAGCAGCACCACGAGCTGGGGACAAGGCTGACACAAGAAAATAAATTACCAGAGGGAGAAGAAGTACCACAATAAAACACAGTGCTGGGTTCTTCCAAGAGACATTACAGTGCTACCTGGAAGTAACTCTTTGCTGTATATCTAAAAAGCATTTTTAAAACCCTTTAAAGGGAAGAAGTTTGGTTGGGACAGACAATTGGCTCCTAAACCAGCTCTTTAAATTCAGGAGCTTTGGATGTTAGCTTAAGCCCATGGCTGGAAAAGCTGCAGTGCTGTGTTTTCACTGTTATTTATAGGCTTGGGCATAAAGGTACCCTGGAGCTTTCTCCAAAGACACTAAGTGCAAATATTTGCTTTTTGGGTGCCAAGGGATTATGTGCTCAGTTAAAGAAGTGGGCTCAGGAAGAGGCAGTCATGTCCCTTTTGCCATGGTTAGACAAAATGACCTCTTTTATCCATCCACCCCTCCCTCAAGTCTCTGATCTCTACTCTTTGAATGCTGCCAATCCTGTAGATATTAATTTGCTGCTTCCACTGAATGGCAGCCTGTAATATGGACGAGTCCAAGGGCTGCTGCTGCTGTGCTGGAAATGACATCACCTGAATGCCTGATTTTCTCCTTTGCTCTTCCAAAGAACATTTTCTCTATGAGAGTCAGAGATCCAGCACAGGACACTGGGTGCACTCTGGAGTTTACATATCAGTAGATATGTAGACCTTGTCAATGGGCTAAGCTAAATAATTCTGACTGAAAACAGGGCCAAAAGCCCTTTTAGGTTCATATTATCATTGCCTAGTCTGATCTCCTTTCTTATTATAGATGGAGTCCCTGAAATCAGAGTGAAAAACCCCAGAAGAACCATTCATTTATCTCACTCTTAAAATCCCAAAGGAGCTCGAAGGCCTCATTTCACATGCAATGGTCACAACCTTCACAGAAGCTGCTTCTGTATGAACAGTGAGCTTTATGGACACCTCACAATAATGGGAATGCACCCACAAATATTTATGAGGGAGGGCAAGGTTAGGGGGATGCTGAACTCAGAGAGGTTGGAACTTCCAGTCCTGTCCCCTCAGTTTGGGAAGGACATTGAGATGCTTGAGCACATCCAGAGGAGACAACGAGGCTGGGGAGGGGCTTGGAACACAAACCCTGTGAGGAACGGCTGAGGGAGCTGGG